CCTACCTGTTGCTACCCCTCTAAGCACCCCTGCTGACAAGGTCATGGACTTTTCTCCACCTCTTCTCGGCCCAAAAGGAGGAAGGCACAAAAGTAATCAAGAAGAAGAAGGTAAAGGTGAAGATAAAGAAGAAAGGATTAGTGCAGTCCAGGAGCACGACTGAGGAAGAGGAAGGGAAACTGGAGGCAGGAGAAAACAGGGCAAGTGCTGGAATTGGCCTTCTCCACAGCAACAGAGTTGGACAAGAGAATCCATCCTCCCAAGAGACAGCTCCTCCCTTTGCAGGTAACATTGAGGGGCAGGTGGCAGCTGGGAAGGAGGCGCTAACTCCACAGATAGGCAGTTGTCTCCCTCCCCTTGCCCTGCCTGTGAGAATTGTGGGAAAGCTCAGCTGTTACCCAGCCCTCACCTGCCAAGGTTATTGTGAAGTGGTTTATAACCAAGTTAAGAACCACCTGCAGGACTCTACCCAGGTGCTCCCATCTAGGAGGGCATCCAGACCTTCCCCAGGACATTGATTTTCAATGGGTGTGATGATGACCTGATCCCCCACTTCTCACCTGAGATTGAGATTTCCACCAAGTCTGCTGGAGCATGTGGTAAGCCTGTTGTCTTCCATAACCTGCAGTGTTGCCTGTTCTTCACTCCCTTGAGAGTAGAAGTTGGGAAGTCCTTGTGCTGCAGCCACTAGTACACTGCAGTAAAGACCACTGTAGTACCTAAGGAGTACTGAGGGTCTCTGGGACTTGAATCTTTAAGTAAACCTGAAGTGAGTGCTGCAGTGCCAGGCCTGTACCCTGCACATCTGGTCCATGTAACCCACATGAAGAGCCAGTTCTCTTCTGGTGAGTGTCATCACACCCTGAACCCACTCAGGGGTTACAAGACCTTCTAACCCACAAGAACTTTCACTACATGGTTAGTCACAGGATCAGGTGGGCACCACTTGTCTAGGTGGCCGCAGACACCTCATCTTTGTTTCAAAAGGGAGTAGTTACTTATACTACCATCCACTCCATGTACCCTTACGGTAGGGGTTGCTGTCTTGGGGAGAGGTACTTTTCCTTTTGATTAAATAATGTTTTGGAGCATGGGCTAAGTTTGAAAATGTAGGGAATACTCCTACTGTAGAGTTCGATGTAGATGTGTAAGGTAATAAATTAGATCAATAACCTCAGTGCACTTTCTGTTAGGAGTGTTTATAAAACACAAGCCTGAAAATAATAACCTCACTTTGAACTACATGACATCTTTCTAGGGTGTGTTGTGAACTCTTGAAGATTAAGATTTATGGTAGGACTAGCCCTGCTCTATAGAGACATCAATTAAATTTAGCCATAGTTTGAGGTGCATCTACATGTGTGCTTTACTGTAATTTGACTAATTAACTCTGCAGTAAAGCATCACCGTCTACATGTCCACCCTATTGGGGCACAGTAAATACTATGCTACAGCAGAGTTTAGTGCGCTGAAATGCATGTGTAGATGGTGATTGGGGCTGGTTGGGGCATGAAGGTGCTACAGTGTAGGCTAGCCCCGTACCATAGCACCTTCAAGCCCCAGCCAGCCCCTCTGCAGCACGTTGAGCCTGGGTGGAGCAGCTCCTAGCTGGCAGATTGACTCCCTGGGCCTCCTGCCAGCCAGGGCTGCTACGCCGCAGCTCAGCATGCTGCAGTCCTGGGTGCACATGTAAATGCTGTGCCTAGGAGCAATAAACTCTGGCACAGACTGCACCAGAGGCTATTACTATGTGTTAATTGCACATCTAGATACACCCTCCACGCAACTGCAGTTAGGTCAGGACCATTGGGCACAGCAGCTACAAGGAGTGAATTTTGGACACAGCAAGAACTTGAAATTCACTCAGTGCAATTCTCAGAGGCTTTACCATGAATGACGTGTACCCCCAGCAGCTGGGGGGCGTGGTGGCGGTGGGAGCACGGCAGCGGGAGTGGCGGTAAGCGGGGGAGCTCCCGGAGATGCCACCAGCGCTGTTGGCGGCCCGGGGAGGGGTGCGCTGACCAAGGGTCGGCGACCACCTGCAGCCACCGCCAGCAGTGTCGGTAGTGGCCAGTGGGGATTGCAGACCACCCACAGACGCCACCGGCGGTGTCGTTGGCAGGGTGGCGAGCGGTGACCTTTTTGTAGGGGGTGCACCACCATGCTCAGGGGGTGCACCCGTGTGCATCCCCTTCGCATCACCCCTGGGCTTTACTTTAAAATCAAACTGTTATTTGGAGCATTTAATTGGAGAAGTACAGTAGAGGTGGTGGGAAGAAGAAAGGAATATTTTGCTGACTAGTTTTGCAGGTGTCACTTTGAGAACAAACAGGGGGATTATAATGTCCTCAGACATGAGGGATTTCCCAGGTAGTTCAGTGACAAAAAAAATCCATTAATGTCTAAACATCCAATCTCATTTTATTTCCTTTTATATCCAGGGAAGAGCACAAAGAAGAAAAAGAAGAAAATTAAAAATAAAATCAAGTCCCAACAGTCATCATTGGAGCCATGGACTGAAGACATCTCCAGTACATTTGGTCAGTATTTTCCAGGTGCCATGTGTATGTAAAGAGGTTGCAGGCCAGGTCCTGCAGCTCATATTACTGCAAGGAGTGGGAGAGTTTCAGACTGCACTGGCCTTTGTCAGAAAGGGTCATGAAGTGTTAAGATCCATCCTACTCCCCTTGCAGGTTGCTTTCAAACTGCTTAGGAACAGTTCTGTGTGTCTACATTCAGTTCTCCCTGCTGCTCTTGCAGTCTCTATTGTGTGGGGAATGAGATGGGTCTTTATGTCTGGAGTGTATTGAGCATTTGCTCAAATGTTTTTTTGCAGCTCAGTGTGTAGTTTGGAAATACTGTACATTGGCTAATTATAGTTACCTAGGTGGATATTGGAGACCAAGGAGAGCTTAAGAGCGAGGCTGAAAAGATCTAGGGTTTGGGGACAGCCTTGGCAGAAGGAAGAGCAGTTCAAACTTAGAGCTGCCTGACAGTTGTCCTTCCCAGCTCATATGAAAGATGTATTTGCAAAAGTACATCTCCAGTGTTTGCACCAGGTAAGTGACTTGACTCCACCAAAGAACTTCTCCAGGCAGACATCTCATTTTGCTCTTTGGTGCTGGTGAATGAGACTGATGGTTTTGTATATGTTAAATGAAGTGTACTGTTGACACAGTTTGCTCTTTCTAAAGGTGGGAGGGGTGTATGCCTTTGAGAGTGTTTTGGAGATTGCTTTGGTTCAGATGGGCAGCTCAGACTCTTTCAACTAAGCAATTTGAGTCATTGTCTTGCTAGACTTGAAACTACCCTTTCTAAGAGCTAATCTGCAGCAGAGGGCAATGGGCAAGGCTGCTCTCAAACAGCAAGAATGAGATCCCTATCTGTACCATGCTGCTGCACTCACTGAAGAGAAAGCTAAGTGCTGCTTCTGCTCTGTTCAAACGGGAATGGGAAAAGATGCTGATAGAGGCCACAAATGTATAGCTCCCTGTTGCCTGGGAAACAAGAAGAGTCTTATGGCTGAACTCAGAATTACCAGTGGAGTCTCATGCTATTGTAGGGCCTGATCTAAAGCCTCTTGAAGTCAGTGAGAATCTTCGCAGAGCCTCTAGGGTCACTCTAATCACCGAGTCTGTCCTTTTTCCTGACACACCCTGGAGCCTCCACTGGCAGCCTCAGAATTCGAAGGGCTGTGGATGAGGCTCTTTATCTATTGCCCAGGCATAGCGCTGTGAACCTGCAGTCACTACTGCCTGAAGAGCACGGGAAGTATTGTCCTGCTGAGCTGCAGGATTGAACAGCTTTCCTTTTTAAGGCGTGAACATCTAGCTTTCTCTTTTTCTCTCCTCAGATTTGTATCGAAGGGCAATGCTGGCTCTGAAAATGCGGCAAGAGCAGAGGAAGCAGTTAGCTGCTGTCACCCCCTGAACAGAGTGCCCCTGCACTGACTGCCTGAGTGCCATCCCTCTAGGCATACTGAGGCAAGGGCAAATTGCTGTGCACCCCACCATCCTTGGTTTGAGGTTCCAAATTTCTGTCTCCAAGTGCAATGTATCTCTCCCTTCAGAGCCAGGTGAATCCCACATGGTCAGTGTCCAGAAAGTCCCCAGCATGAGCCTGCCCAGCCAGTATCAGCTAAGGCAGGTTGACTGCCAAACCTCTTGAGTAGTCACCAAGGATTCTGGATTATCCAGTTGGAGTCTCAGGTAGCAAGCCTTTGAGATGTAATGACTCGTCTTCTTCCAGGGGACCATGGGAGCATTTGGGATTCATGCCTAGAAGCTGATGGTTCTTCTGTAAAGTCAACTCAGCAACCTGGCTGCAGACAAGTGGCTCTGATTAAAAAGGAAATGCAACATTTTTGCAGCTGACCAATTTTCTTGTCTATATTCTGTCTGTAAAACTGCCTCAGATCTGAGGGGCTCTGTGAGGAAAGATCCAGTCAAGTCCTCTTGGTCACTAGTCCAGAGAAGAGGGCTGAGCACATGAGACTCACGTTTACACTGAGCCTCAGACTCTGCCCAGCTGAGACCCGTGCTTACAACCTGCTTGCAGAGTGATCTCAGAATTAATAAATTATAGCCAAAGGGAAGGGCAAATGAATGAGCACCCTTTTAGCTCAAAACCAAAAAGCTGAGAACAAAATTAATCAAGACAGCAAGAGACAAAGCGAAAAACTATCAAATGACCCATGTACTGATGCTAGGAGCCAGGGATATAAATTAAAGGAACGAGTTATTCATTAGGAGCCTTAAATGGTACCTTAGTGATACTGCTGGAGCCATATGCAAAGATTCACATGGCTGTTGTTGAAACGTTAAAACACTGGTTGGATCTCATATTAGAAGGATCCAAGGAGAGGGGGTTTCTGGTACTATATACTAAAAATCCAGGTCAGTGGAAGTGTCTACGTGAGATACTTACTGTGCAGTAGCTCGTTACTAGTGCACAATAGCGTCACAGGGCACAAACCATGACGCAATGCTACTTTGCAATAGTAATGAGCTATTGTCCAGTCAGCATCACCAGGAAGATATGCGGCGATGCTACTGCACAAGTAACACTGGCTACTGCACAGTCATTTAGTACTTAGGTATGTAAGTACTAAATGACTGCACAGTAACAACTGCAGTCAGTGTCTCGTATAGACGTGGCCAGTGACAACTTAGGATCAGATGATCTTGAATGCTTATGGGTCAGAGTCCTAACCATGCCATCCTCAGCTGCCATGGAGCTGAGGATGGCATCCCATGTTAAGGATAACAAAAAATTGTTTTTCAGATATATAGGGAGTAAAAGGAAGGCCCAGGGTGGTATAGGACCACTACTGAATGGGCAAAAGCAATTGGTGACAGACAGGGGGGACAAGGTTGAACTCCTTAATGAGTTCTTTGCCTCAGTGTTCCTAAACGAGGGGCAACACAAGTCTCACAATAGGATTGTAGAGAGACAACAGCAGGGTGCCAGACTACCAAGCGTTGACCCTGAGATGTTGCAGAGTCACTTGGATGCGTTTAAGTCGGCAGGCCCGGATGAGCTCCATCTGAGGGTACTGAAGGCACTGGCTGACATCATTGCACATCCACTGGCAAGAATATTTGAGCGCTCGTGGCGCACGGGCCAGGTCCTGGAGGACTGGAAAAGGGCCAATGTGGTCCCTATTTTCAAGAAGGGGAGGAAGGAGAATCCAGGCAACTATAGGCCAGTCAGTCTCACCTCCATCCTTGGCAAAGTCTTTGAAAAGATTATTAAGGCTCATA